GAGGCTGGGTTCATACAGATCCTTTAGTTCCGGAGTTTTAGACAGCGCTCGAATTGCACAGCCGTGCTGAAACTGTTCCCGTTGCGGATTGGTATGAACATAGCCTATGACATATGGGGCTCATCAACTGCAGTGTCGTGTGCACCAGCATCTCCGCTCCCGTGCTTGCTTCGCTTGCTGCATCTCTTTCGCATGTATGCTCTCTGATCAGTTGCGGGAAAGGCGAAGGCTTAGTCGATCGGAAATGATCAAAGAGAATATTCGCGGAAAGGGGCAGAGTCAAGCGCGGGAGTGAAGAAGTTGGTGCACCCGACACTGCAATTGATAAGCTCTGTACGTGACACCGTTAGGGACACAGCTTGGAATGGATGATGGATGCACTTCTTTTCAGAATTGAGCATATGACAGAAGAGGAAGCGGAGAAGTATGTGCGATCGGTGCTGCTTACCATAAAACCGCAATTATTCATCATTTCTACACCCAATCATGAGTACAACGAGGCTTTTGGTTTGCCCACAAACACGTTTCGTCACAATGACCACAAGTTTGAGTTCACCCGACAAGGATTTAGATATTGGTGAGCTCGCTTCATACATAAAATGCTCATATGAAAGAAATTTCTAGGTTGTACAACATAATGAAAGAGTTTTCGTCCGACTACAGTTATACAGTCGAATACGTTGGAAATATCTCTAGTGGGTAGTACTAAATTGTTGTCATTTATTGCATTTTTCATGCTGTTTTCCCATAGTCACAGTCTTCAGAATTCGCACACTTACAAGGTGCTACTCAATTCGCTGTCATACGACGGAAGTTCAGCAAATCAGTTCTGGCGCTGCCTTACTCCAATACAAGGCCATTTAAGAAGGTGAGCGAGAAGTCCACTGCTGTTTGTAGTCAAAGACAAGTCTTATTGTTTAAAAAAAGCATTTCTTGTCATTTTTTCACTTTGATAAATTGTAAAACTCAAAAATTCCCGACCTAGGTTGGAGAAGTGATTGCGAAGAACTCTTTATATTCGCTAGAACGTGAAAAAGTACGAGAAGCGTTCAAGCTGTGGTTGAGCCGAAATCCACTACGAGAAAATGATTTATTGAAGGTAATTGTGCATTTTTTGCTCTCTTCTGCCTGAGCTTCCATGTGATTTAGACGTTTGTGGGCAATTACTGGCGAGTTGGTATGTCATCAGTTGTGGATCTCATAAATTTGCCCGAACCTTTAAAGGCGAAGTTGAATCAAAAAGCGCTAGTGTAGGTTTTTGTTAATGGACTATGGCATTGAATAACGAACAATTATTCCTACAGAATTCTCATTGCAGTGATATGCTCCGATTTTTGTGCAATGGTCGTATTGTTTACGAAACTCACCATGGTGAAGCTTGTCTAAATATCCCTCATCATGTGACAAAAGACGAGCTCATCGGCATAATGAATTCGAAGAACATCGGAGGTCCTGCACCTCTTGGATTATGCGCGTAATGCTTGGAATATCCTCGTTTTAACAATCGCTGGATAACAATCATATGAAATAGTATCTCAAGTGTTTTTACCCTTGTAAGGAAGGATCCAAATGGTCATGCAGGTCTGACCCACCACTCCTTTGTATGGTTGCCGCGTAATGTACGTACCTTGATAAAAAGAGTTCGTAGCGTTCAAATCTCAGCTGAGGTCCACGCACCCGCCAAATGAAGTGATATACTCTTTTAATGCTACTAATCTCCTTTCAAAATATCTAAGGATAACACTGTTTCGCCAATTTTAGTAACTAACTTTTTTCTAACATGTGTTTCGACTGTCCAAGAACTCACTTCTCTTTGCTGAGAAGCACTTTATCTTAGTTCATATCTGCCTGTTTTGTCAATACGAGGTGTACAATAACCTTCTTGTTATTATTATAATTGATTTTATATTGCTGGCAACAGTTTGTATTCATATTTTTTGTCGTGGCTTTTCAATT